GAAGATCGGGTTCAAGTTTCGGTAAGAACAAGTTCTAAATTGTACATCACAAGAGGTCAAATGTGATTGTCGTGGTGAACTTTTAAATGACAATATTTGTAGTAAAAAGGACCAAAAAAAAAAAAAAAAATGGTTGAGAAGAGTCATCACATCTCCAAATTTAACCATTAAATTGAGACAGTTTTTTTTTGAAATATGTAAAAATTTGAATGAATCATTTAATACTATATTTCAATTCATTGATTATAATGGAGAGATCATACGGGAGATCTCTTGATATATATATATATATATATATATATATATATATATATATATATATATTGTCAAGTATTTTGCAACAAAATGATTTTTGGGAACCAATAAAATTTCATTGTAGAAAATTAATTGCAATGAATGAATGACCTTTCGTAGTGAGGTCATCAAGGAAACTCGGTTTTTGAAATTTGTTGAAAAAAAACAAAAAACAAAACAAAAGAAATGTTGCAAAAAATTTAGAGATTCTATTTTAGGGCCGGCTTTCTATGAGGGATATTATTATTATTTTTTCCTATCTCCCTCTCCGAAAGTCTACAAAATGCATCCGTGATTAAAAAAACATCGTAGGGAACGAGCCTACAAGTGCTAGGCCAGTCAAACAGAATTTACAAAAGTCTTTGTAAATTTTACTCCCTCTGTCCCATTTTAAAATTGTGAGTTATAGACTTTAAAGAAGACATTTAAAATGGGACAGAGGTAGTAGTTATTTGGGTTTTGGCTCTTTTAGGAAGAGAGGAAAGGATGTCACATTTGATGGTGGCGGATAGGTAGGTGGTGGTGGTGGCGGGATTAATTTGAATCCGCAGCTAATGGATGGACTAGTTTTAGAAGAAATTTTTTATTTTTTTTTATTATTATTTTTTAATGCCTAATATATTAAATAAAAAATTGCAAATATAATGTATATATTCTACCATCTAGTTAGACTCTTGCAAATTTAAAAAATACAATACCCACAAAAGTCCTAGTCATTTATATTTCACCTCATATGATTGGATAATGATTGGCTAATAGTGCATCATATAATAATAATTTATCTTCATAGTTTTGCTTTCAATGAAGAGTTATGATGCATTCTACATAGCGAAAATCTACTCTTTAAAATAATTAATAAAAATGTAAAGACAGCTTTTCTACAATTAAGTTTCTAAAATCTTTCACACTTTTCTTCAAATCTCTACAAAATTATAAAAGAGAAGATAATAAATCTATAACTTTCTACTGATTTCTAAAAAATCTTTCACACTTTTTTTTTTCGAAATCTCAACAAAATTTTAAAAAACCTAAAAACTTGCAAACATTATTGTTAAATTAAAAATGTGACAAGGTACCCTTTCCCTATATTACTATTTGGTGGTAATTTATTGATATATGTTATAAAGTATAATTAATTTTTTTACAAATTGAAATTATGAAAGACTTATTAACCAACTCACAAATTTACCATGCAACATCAAGTAACGCTAGCACTACGATTAAATTAAAATGAGAAAGAAAAGAGGAAGTTCCACACTTGTAATCTATTGATAGGTTATGAAGTATAATTATTATTATTTTTTTACAAATTTAAATTATGAAATACTTATAAACTAACTCAAAACTTGGCGGGATATGACAATAAACTACTGACATAATTCAACACTATTATTAAATTAGAAGACATAGTTGTTGAAGTTCCATATTTATAAAGACGAACTGAAAAAATAATAATAATAATAAAAATAAATAAATAAATAAAAATTTTTAAAAAAAAGGCTTTTAACCATTCGTAGCAAGTAAACCCCATTGGAAATTTTTTTTGGGACAAATTCCCCTCCAAGTAATTGTGGGTGCTCAGTTATTTTTTGATACCAAAATACCCCTTGCTTATTTATTCCTCCACTGTGCAAGGCAACACCAGCATGTACTTCTTTTTTAACATAATTTGCATTTTTGTTTACTCATTTTATTTTGGAACAAAATAAAATGAGTAAACAAAAATGCAAAATATGTTGTAGGTCGATATTGTTGTGTGGGTCGCCAATTTAGAGTTCAAAATTGATAATGGCAGCTATATTATTTTATTTTTGGATCCATGATGGAGAGGATTTCTATTATTCAAGCTTTTGGCTACAATGTGGTCACGCAATTTGACTTAACTAGAAATTGTTGTTTAAATCAGATTATACAAATTGGTAGATGGTCTAGACCTCATCTTTTAATGCCTGAAACTAATGGAATCTCATTGCTGCTACTCCTCTTCATCAAGGTTATTGATGTGATAAAACAAAAGAAAGGATTCCCAAGTTTTGAAGTTTTTTTTGAAACCTTTGTAAATTGAATTTTCTGAAGAAAGATTAGGCTAAATTTTCCAACAGAGTTTTTCTATGTTTGGAGGATTTTGTGGCATAGAAACTAAGTGATTCACGATGGGATTGATCGAGACGCTATGCAACTTGATAAAATTGATGTTTAAAAGTTCTGCTGAAGCTAAAGAAACTGATTATATTGCAAAATTCAAAATGTCAAAATTCAAAATATAAATGGGTCAAGCTAATTCTACAGTTTACATATGGTTCTCTACAGTCTTTAGAATACATTAACCTTAGACTCGAATAATCTCAAAAGTATATCCAGCAATGACATCAGTTACTTTTATTTCACCTCATATGATTAGAAAATGATTGGTTAATAGTGCATCATGTACTAATTTATCTTCGTTATTTGGCTTAGTAAAACTTTCTTTAATTTTCATAGATTTACACACAAGTATATGAATTATAACATCCAGGTTTGGTGGAAGAAACATAAATTCCACTCTTTTTATAGCCATCAACCTCTTCAATGAACTCTCTAAAATAATTCACAAAAATGTAAATTACTTTCTACCAATTTCTAAAATCTTTGACACTTTTCTCTAAATATCTACAAAATTATAAAAATACCTATAAATTTTGTGAAGAACGATTTTTAAAATCTTCACACTTTTCTCCAAATATCTACAAAATTGTAAAAGACCTATAAACTTTGTGAAGGTACCATATCTACAACTTTCTACCTATTTTAAAAATCTTTCACACTTTTCTTCGAATCTCTACAAAATTATAAAAGACCTATAAACATGTAAATATTATTTTTTTAAGTTAAAACTGTGACAAGATACTCTTTCCCCTAAGAGGAGTTGAACCATTGACTTTCATTTTTGAAAGGAGAGAGAGTACAATTAGATTATCTTTGTTAGTAATTTATTGACATATGTTATAAAGTAGAATTATTTTTACAAATTGAAATCATGAAAGACTTATTAACTAACTCACAAATTTAATTATCATGCAACATCATGTAACCCTAACACTTTTGTTAAATTAAAATGTGAAACATAGGAGGAAATTCCATATTCATAATCTATTGATAGGTTATGAAGTATAATTATTTTATTTTTTACAAATTTAAATTATGAAAGACTTATAAACTAACTCACAACTTGGCGGGGTATGAGAATAAACTACTGCCATAATTCAATACTATTATTAAATGATAACAACTATTCTTTTTTATTTTTTTTGTTTACTCATTTTATTTTGGAATGATAACAACTATTCTTTTTTATTTTTTCCTTCTAGTTTTCAAGTTGGTTACGGAGAGAGTGATTTTGAAATAAAATTATTTGTATTATATATTAACTCATTCCTTAGATATATCTCAAGTTAAACATGGTGACGAGTTTTTCATCTTACTGTCTAAATCTATAAATGAAACGCATATTGTGAATATGTGATTGTGAGATGTGGAAGAGAGAAGCAAAAAATTGGGTGGTGTGGTAACTTCTAAGACCCTTATCTTTGGTGGAAGTGGCTATATTGGTAGTTACATGGCGGAGGCTAGCATCTTCATTGGCCGTCCAAATTGGGTTTTTGGTTTTGAGTAGAGTGAGGCGTACTCCTAAGAAGGAATTGATGGATAGAGAGAGTTTGCGGGGTTTGACGGAGATCACTGATAGCAAGGGGAGGGGTAAGGTTCGGGTATTTGTCACCCTTTTTTGTAGTAAGAGTTTGTGTACATGATTTGGTATTTGGTATTTTTTTTCGTTGCAATATCTTTGCATGATTGTAGTGGAATATCTCTACATGATTATAGTGGAATTTTGGATGACTACTTAGCTCCAATTTTGGGTGAACCAATCTTATACTAGTGTAATTACTGTATCCTATTCTATTTTTTTGCTTTGTCCCAACCATAGTTCGCAGTTGCGGTGTAACGGATTCGGACTAATATCAGTGTAAATCGGCCAAACTGATCGGTTTATGAAAATGTGTAACAGTATCGAACCGTTAAAAAATGATTACGAACCGGCTGATACGACAAACCATAGTTCCAACACATGCAACCCTAATGCATATGAAGGCTGATTGGTATTATATTTGAAAGTTTAACACATTGAAACAAATTGGATACAAAATGAAATGAGCAAACATAAATGCAAAATATTTAAAAAGTACTTACTGCTGATTTGCAAGGTGGAGCAACAGACTGCTAAAGAACATTTTGTTTAATCTGTTTGGTTTTTTAAGTTAGCACCAGGAATAGGCAAGGCTTCCCCGGGATCCACTCTAGGTTACAAACTTGGGGTATATAGTCTCGTTCCAAGAATACACCTGATAAGTCGGGAGTGATAAACTAAAGAACGTTTTTGTTTAAAAGAAAGCTGAGCAATTAAAATAGTTACAAGTCAACTCGTCAAGCGTATTTATCTTATTTTATTATTATTTGTTTGCAATTCACTTTATTTACTATAATTTATTGATATAGGTTATAAAGTGAAATTCTTCTTTTAAAAATCGAAGCTGCTTTGGGTACGTATTAAAAAAAATATATGTTTATGATTAATGAATTTATTTAGTTGGTAGTACCAAGTTATTTGGCATGGTGCTATATAATCTTCTTTCCTCATCTTTTCCTTTGGTGGGAAAGAGAAAAAAAAATGCAGGGATATAATTTTCTGTGTTTGGTATAAAATTTTGGAAAGAAAAAACGGTGAATGAAAAAGACTTGAAGGATAAATTAAAGTTGATGAGTTGATTTTGTAATCCTTAGAAAGGAAAGAAAATACTGTCATTTTGAATGAAACTTTCTTAATACTAAATTTACATTTATTTTTATAAAAGATAAAATTTATAAAAAAAAAAAACAAAAACAAATAAGTGGTTTAGACGTGCTCTCAAGTCAATAAAATAAAATAAAATAAAATAAGAAATGTCGGATACGTGTTCAAGACTTGAACACGTGTGTCCAACACTAGTATGCTGCACCACCTAACCGTGTGTGGTGCTTCATAGATTCTTAGGGATGGACCACTCTCCATCCTTCAAATTGATTATGAACCTATATAAAAATTAATACTCTATTATTTGAGTTTTTATTTTTATTGTTTTTATGATCTTTAAAATTTTTAACTATACAATTAAGAAAACAATAACTGTATTACTATTAACTATTTATTTACCTTTATGTGTTTTTTTTTTTTAATTTATTTTTATTTTATCAAAGAATAAACCACTTGATTTCTATTCAAATTTCAAAGTAATTATTGGAGACCCATAAGCCTATCAGAATGCACTCAAAATCATATAAACGTAAAAGACATCTCTCTCTGAACGTCAGTAGTGCATGGAGTCATCTCTGCCAGAGTTTCACCGGAAAAGAAACCCCATAAGGTCAGAAAATATTCACTTTGAAAATTTTCTTCAATTCAAGTATTTGATGAGATACTTATGATTTTGATCTTAATATTATGAATTTGATACAATTGCTTTGGTGGTGTTATGTTTGTACACATGGGTGGCATATATATAAATATATATATGTGCATATTGGTGATGTATTGTGGTGGGCATATTAACATATCTGTTTTGATGGAATTTGTATTCGAGAAGTGGTAGTTTGGTGGTGGCGTATTCGAATTCTTTTAAGGTTTCCGAAATCGACGAGGGTGGCTTTGGCCATTTTGTGGGTGCACGCCACCTGTTTGATGAAAAGCCTCAAAGTGGCTGCAGAGCTGGCACAATATAACTAGAGGCCAAAGGCAAAACTTGGACCCGAACAAAATTTCTAAGGCATGCTATGGAATTATTTGATAAGAATTTACTCGGGCAGCTAGTAGAATGAATGAATTTAGAGTTGAGAAAGCCTAGTCCAATGTTATGAACACTTTTGACCAATCATATTAATCTACAACAATGGGACTTTACAACAACTAACTGAGCACTTCCGACACATGATTATAATGTTATGAACGCAAGATTGTAAACTTACTGAGATTTGATACGTTCGATGCATGATTATAAATTTTGAAATTTAGAGATTTAGACCTTACAAAACTCACTCAATGTAATTTCATGGTACAAAACTCACTCTATTACAATGATTATAAATATCTAGTTTAGAGATCTGACACGTTCAATGCATGGATACATACCTGTACCTGAGTCCATGTAACATAGGTTTAAACTATTAGAGATGGGGTAACGTAGATATTTATCCCGTCAACAACCAAAGCTATAATTTTTATAAGCTAGTTTGCAGTCTTGCCTATTAGACCAGTAAAATTTTGGATTTTAAGAAAAGGGAGAATAGCATAAGAGTTGTTTCATGCCTCAAATATAATAAATGTCATGTTCATCATGGAATATAACTAACGTGTTGTCTGAACATCGACAAATAGAAGAAGTGTAGAATAGACCAATGGACAAAGATTAGCAAAAGAGTAAAGCTCAAATTGGTGCTTTTTTTAACCTCTGTAAGTTCTTTTAAAACTATAGTTACTATATGCTGCTGTCTTTTTTAGATTCGTAACATTATAGAAAACACCGATTTGAGAAAAAGAAGGCCTTTTTTTATTTATTTATTGCGATGAGTTTTTGAATGCTGCTCTAATTAATTATTTCGTCAAAAAATTTAAATTTAAAGAAGACATGGTGTATAATAGGAAATAATGGAAGAAGAAAATTCATGTGCCCGGCCCCAACCATATGGGATAAAGGCAAGGATTATGATGACGATGATGACAAAGTGGTGCAAAAGTGGCGTCATGATATAGGAATGGGTTCTAGTGATGCTGTGGTTTCTAGTCACAAATATTGTTGGGAGAATTGGCTTTCGCAATGATGTGTAGATTTGGTCCCAAAAGATGTACTATTGTGATGAATCTGCTTCACTCAAATATTTTTGTCGTAAAACTGTATTATCTCTAAACCATTTTAAATCTGTAGCATTAAGGTCACAGAAAATATCAGCTACTGCAACTTGCCAAATTGTGGTTTGAGCTTCAAGTGTACAGATTCCTATCAATCTTTATAAATTAAGCAGAAGTCCTGGGAAAAAAAATTCAGCTTCAAATTTGCACCATCCCTTGCAATTCTTGACAACTAATTAAATTATCGTTTTCCATTGAAAATGTACACCATTTGTAGCGATGGTCCATACTGTTACTATCCCATTTGTTGCATAAATTACATCCATATAGTAATGTTAAAAAAAAAAAAACACTTACATGGCGGAATCAAAATCAAACATGATTGATTATGGTAATATCACCCAACATGTGCTCAGAGTATGCTCCTTTTTGTTCTTTTGAATATGCTAATTGAATTCTTTGCAGTAGTAATAGTGGTAATACTCATAGTACTGAAATATAAAGAAGGTTTTGTCATCAGATATAGATAGAGCATTATTGTTGATTGACTAAAAAGATTTACAAAGCACATCCATCCAACAGAAACTTCTTTGTATTTAGACTAAAATTCATGTCTATTTTCATTGGTAACATTGAGTCTAGATATTCATTACATGGTCAAAAGGATACATTTCTTTCTATGCCAGCTACTTACAGAAGACAGAAAATCTAACAATTCCATGGTAAATCTTTAGAACCAGAAACTATCGTATATGGGATATATAGGTGCTGGCAGTTTATATGCTTAGATCCATGCATACATGAACAAAGATTGAAAAATTAAAGAATTCATAGATCTGCAAGTATCATCAACTTAAGAAGCTCCAAAATACTGCTGGAAGTCGCCGTCTTTGATTCTCAGTTCCTTTGTTACATGAACTCTTCAAAGGTAGGTGAAGTACCCATATCGGACACACAATACTAAGACATCTGTCAAACACTTTTGGTTAGACATTCACGAAAGAAAAAAAAATATAGTAATTCAGTTTCTTGTATTATTGCTTCAAAATGAGTGAAATGCCTACATTAAACACTATGCTATATGAAAATATTATTTTACTCTAGAAGTTTGTTTTGGGATTTGACACGTCGGACATGTGGATATGTACCCACAGCCAACATATCTACCCAAGTCCATGTAACGTACCTCATTTCTCCTTATCATCGTCGTCAATTGGGAAGGCAAAAGTTACCCTGAGTCCACGTGATTTAGCAAGCTTGGTTTCGTGTTTCTTGAGACAAGATTTCAGCTTAGTAACTTGCTGAGAGGACTTGAGCTCTAATCTATCATCATTTTGTGGCACCCAGACGCGATTAAAATCATCTCTCAGAAAATGAGAAGGCACTCCTTCCTCAACAAAAGAGCCACTTGGTGTTTGTGGTTTAAGTTCTTTCAGGTAATTTTTGCAATCTGGCGTCATTGTTGGCCAACACTCAACTGGGTATTGTTTCTTCAATGATCCATCACCAGCCGGTTGACTCTTCACTTGAGCAGGCAACTTGATTAGAGATGTTCTACGAAGGTGATCATGGTAGTGATTATTGGGCGTTGTCAATGCAGGGAAGCCACACCCAACTGAAATCTTTGGATGGTGATGTCCTTCACGATCTTCTTCGTGCCTAGGATTCAACGTCTTCAGCACCGCTCTGGGAGTTTGTTTCTTTACATGTCCATGGACACAAGTTGGCCGAATGGACGACCAACAGGTATATTGTTGTTTAGGAAGTCTTTCTTCTCTCGGACATTCAATTACTTGCTCTTCATACCTGTTGAGATTCAGCTCATTGCGGGGGAAAATCTGAGATTGTTCTCTACAATCATGGTTTTGCTCGAGGGACTGCTGTTGCTGCAGAATAGAGGAGTGATTCCAGGCCGTCCGTTGCAGCAGGCGATGGATGGTGTGGTACGGAACAATGAAGAAAACTCTTCCAAGACGCAGAACTGATTCGGGACGAACCACGATCCATGGGTACTTGAACACGTCTGGGCGCGCGACGCAGTGTCTCGGGTTCCTTCTCATGACCTCACCTGCAGTTATTGGATCATTGTGTATCTCAACGAAGCCTCCGGGGTACACCAACTTGAGGACACCATTTTCTCTGGCTATTGAACTCATTGTCATGGCCCAATCTAACCAGAAGGAAAAATGATGACTTGTGTGTGTATAAATGTGTGGTATTAGGCTTATGTTTGGTGGAAAGAAAAAGGAATGAGAAGGAAACCAAAGGAGCACATCTTGATCACCTCTAATTATGTAAAGCCGTCTTCTCACTTGATGACAATTTTGGGTGGCTGAAACTCCTATGTGGAGGATCTTGGGTTATGTGTGAGTCATTCTCCTATAATGTTTTCTTTATTTGGTGGAGTTTGCATTGGCTGGCATTGGCTGGAGAGTAAGTTCATCTTTCTGCGTCATGGCATTGGTTTTGTCATTTGTCTTGGACTTATCTCACATTGAAGAAGATTTAATTCAACATGATGGATTGGCTAGGTGGTCTGGGGCATTCACCTTGAGTTTGAGCACGTAAACAAAGAGTAGTGCTAGGTACAGTCGTTCATATTTTTATTGACATTGCGTGATTGGTTAAATCAATTACACGTGATATTCACTTCCACAATAGCACTAGTTGTAATTAGAGGTGCACATGGTTCGCAGATTAGATCGATATAAAAATATTTTAAAATTAAACCGTTCCTAATGGGAGAGGTTTTGGATTTTCAGGTGCATCAAAACAACATGCAACAAAGCAACACCATTACATAGAGAGGGTGATTTATATATAAAAGAGTAAAGTGCAATAAACCTCCTTCAACTATTACCTTTTAGCAAAGAACACACTTCCCCCCCCCCCCCCCCCCCCACTTTGCATTTTAGTTGCAGTTTACCCACTATAGAGATCCTGATTTTGATAGCATGCCTGTCAGGTGACGACTCAAATTTAATTAAATAACTATACCACCCTTATGAAGGTTAAAAGACCATAACACCCTTCTATTACTTGACCCAAAACCCCACCAAACAAGCCTTGTCATCCCAAAAATCCCTCATTATTTCTTTCTCGATCTCGCTCGACTGATAGTTTTCTCTATTTGCCTATATATATATATATATATATATATATATATATATATATAGTTCAAAAAATGTGGAGGGTTGTGCGTCCAAGAATTTTCAGAGGAAGCGTCGTCCAGAAAAAACAATTGCAGAGACGTGTTTCTTTTAGTCTTCGCTGAAACCCTCTCAGTTAATGGTTTGACCGAAGCTCACTGGTTTTTGAGATTGAGCTCTGTTATTGCAATCTGGAACACACCAGAATTTGGTCTAAGATTCGTCGGAATCAATGGAGTAATTAGCTAAGAGCTTTTTCCCATCTTCAATGCAACTCTGGTCGAAATGGTCTTCGTTGGGTCAGGCTGGAGCTCTAAACTCTCACCCCTTGTAGGTAACTGAAGCTCTGTATCTTCACCGTTGGTGTATAGGTGAGTTTATTTGATTTGGTTGCTGCAACTTTCTAGGTCTCACCTGTTTTTCACGAATGAAGATTCTCCGGCTGTTTGGGTAGCTAAATCACAGTGTTTCTTCGGCTGTTTGGGTAGCTAAATCACAGTGTTTCTCCGGCTGTTTGTCACTAACTAAAGTTTTCCAATTTGAACGTTGTAGCTGTCGATGGATTTCCTTTTTATGTATATAAATCCATGAAGCTCCACACCTTAATTGAATCTTCAAGGCTCGTAATATATTCATCTCTTCATTGAGATTAGGGGTGGCAAAATGGGTTAGGAACCATCAACCCGCCCATATCCGTCTGCTTTTTAATGGTTATGGGTGAACCATATTTAATTTGAGGGTCAAAATGGATTGGGTAATTTTTAACCATTTAATTTGAGGGTCAAGATGGGTTGAATATGGTTAACCATATTCAACCCATATTTCACCCATCACATAATAAACACACAACACATATCTATTATATATTGTACTTAACTCATTTCCCTTTCTAAAATTCTCTAGAGTTGTCTCATATCAATCCCCTCTCTCTAGAGTTGTCTCTTATCAATCCCCTCTCTCTAAGTTTCTCTCTCTAGAAACTTCTTCTAAAAAAAAAAAATAATTCAAAAATAAAAAATAAAAAATTCAAAAACCTTCCAAAAAAAAATAATTTAAAATAATTAATTTTTAAAAAAAAATAAAAAAATAATTAAAAATTAAAAAAATTAAAATAAATAAATAAATAATTTTAAAAAACTTTTAAAAAAATTAAAAAAAAATTATTATAGTAGTGTTGGGTGGCCCCATTCCCACCTTAAAAATAAAAAAATTACTATAATAGTATTGTGAAGCTCAATTATTTTTAACCTTAGTCGAGTCACTCGAGTCTGTGTACATCTTTTAAACGGAGTAAAGTTAAGTATTAAATTTTAATAATAAATTAATCATTTTAAAAATGATAGTTACGAACTCTATTTAATTTTTTTTTCATTATTTTGCTAAATTGATACTAATAATAAAATAGAAGTAAATGAAAAATAAATTAAGATTTAAACTAAGATAATAAAATAATTTAATAAGAAAAAAAAATTTAGTGAGAAGGTAAAATACTCTTTTTCCAATGATTTGGTCTTTAATCATAATATCATTAGTTTAGGGGCAGGTTGTAATTCATGGGAATTATTTGCAAAAGGATAATAATAATTCAGGTTTTTTTTTTTCCTGCATCACGCGGTCAAACCCAGCCCTTCTAACATTTGCTAATATTAAACGGTCGAAGAAAAGTCTGGGCGAGAGAACCATGGACCTTAATGAACTGCCGGAGTACTAAATATCACAAGAGTCATAAAGTAGTGCGTAGGACTAGTGAGTTCCAAGTCCTCAGATAACAGAACAGAGAAGCCGAGGCCAAGATCTATCAATTGCTTCATCACAAGCTCATGTTAACATTTAATAAAAAAATTTAAAAAATTAAAAAATAATTAAAATAATAATTAATGAGTTTATGGGTCATAATGGGTTGACCCTGTCAATTTTCAACCCGTCCATTTTTAATCCGTTCCGAACGAATTGAATATGGATCTTGACCCATGTTGACTCGCCCATTTTCAACCCAACCCAACCCATCCCACCCCACCCATTTGCCACCCCTAATTGAAATCAACTACTTCAGATGAAGCACTTTCTTTTGCATTTGATGCATCTGGTTGCTGACTTGGTCTTTGCTGTGTCTGATTATTGCCAAACCCATCAAAATACAAGTAAATGGACAATTGGTATATTCCTCTTATATACACACACACACACATATATACATAACAGAGTTGCTCTGTGTTTCTTGATTTTAAACTTCTTGATGTTGTTTTAGGGTCCGCAAAGTAGATTATCATATTCCAATTTCTCAGAGACTTTGATTACATTATGGCTTCAAACTTGGCGCGGCTAATTTCCGAAGAGACCCATGAAATTGTGACTTTGATTTCAAATGGATTAATGAGGGCATTTTTTTCTGGTTCAAACGGATTAAGGAGATCAACCATGGATCAATACAAATCGAGTGTAGTCTGTACCATGCATATACATTTACTTTTATGTATACACAGTGGATTTTGCTGTTGGGAAAGAACTAAGAAGAAACAATGGTGGTGGTTTGGTTAAGGGAAGAGATAATGGGTCAGTGGTAAGTTGCATAGGTGTCCACATTTTAGAGGCTCTTCTTATTACATTGGTTTTTTTTTTTTTTGGGGGTGGGTTTAATGCACTTTATCCTTATATATAATAATAAAGGGGTCTAATTATTTATAAAATTCATCTCATTATTCTTTGTAATACAATGCTTCAGTAAACTTCGCTGAGTATTTATAAAATTCATCTCATTATTCTTTATAATACAATGCTTCAGTAAACTTCACTTTATTTATCATTTAGTTTACATGCAGCACCATTATATCGAAAATCAAATCCATCTGGAACACTCTAGAATGGAAACCATCTCCAACAGGTAAATATTCTTTAAAATCCACCTTAGCTAATCGTGAAACTTATTCCTTGGCACCACTTAGTGTGGAGTTCCCTATTCATCCCTCGCCATAAATTCAATTTTATGGCTGGCTACTTTGAACCGCCTACCATCCTTTGGCCAAAAAAATCCATGGGATACTTGCACATTCCTAATCACTGCTCACTATGGGTCTGTTTGGTTGGCCTTTTTGTTTTACTGTAGCAGTGTTTTTGGCTGCAACGTGTTTCATAAATAATGTTTTGTTTTGAATAGTGCCGAAATGCTTCGTGAATAATGACCTGAAGTCAAAACACCAATTTTGGTATTTTGACATGTTCCTGCACTGTAGCAATGGGACAATACCTAATTTTTAAAAAAAAAAAAAAAAAAAAAAAAAAAATCTAAAATGACCTTTTTAAACTAGCCATTATATATTTCAAACTTGCAACACTTTTTTTACTAAATATGTTTTGCATATTTTTTAATCTAAAAATCTTAAAAGAAATAGACATGCATTACTAAATATATTTTCGATTACTATTCAAAATATTGTACAACAAATATATTGTTTCTATTTTAGGTGAAAACAAAAACGCAAAACGTTTCCATCTACCAAACCGGCCCTTGTTTGTGAGGCTGAGTTGGTCACAAATATGAAAAGCCATGTTAGTTCAAAATGTTGACACTAACATTTTACATTCACAAATGTGGAGAGCCAAATAAAGAGCACCATAGCTGCCAAATTAGATGAAGGGTTTAGATTGGAAAAAAACAGTCGGGTCTGTTTTGAATTATTAACAATAACATGATTAGAAAATTTGAACCAAAATAATAAATAGCAAATGAGGGATCTTTTTTGCATTTTGATTCTTAAAAAATTTCCAAGACATATTTGAGGAGGAAAGACCAGGTCTATTTTGAATTTTGAAAATCTTGTTGGGGAAATTGGGGTGGCAATTCGTATTTGCGGGTCATAATCGTATAATATTAATTTAAAGATATTCTACTAAACAAGTTAATCTGAACATAATCCGTTTAATAATCGTGTCAGAGACCCTTAATAAGCTAAACTGTTTATTAAACGGGTTACACTTTTTGACCTATTTGCAAAAACTATATATTATATTATTTAGATTATTTATAAATCTCTTTAAAAAAAATATAAGTCTTAATCCAATTAAATTATTAATAGTCTCTACTTCACAAGTAAATTAAAAGACAAAAGTTTAGATAGTTATTACATAACCCAATTAATAATGACAATTAAGGAGCTAATGTATATTTTTTTTGTGAATTTATATTGAAATGATTCCACGGGTTGAGACCAACTACCCTAACACGACACGTTTAATTAATCGAGTTGATTGTGTCAACCCATTTACGATCCAAACTCGTTTAAGGTCAACCTAAACCTTCTTATTTCGTATCGTATTCGAATCATGTTGACTAGTCAACAGTGTTGAACTTTGCCACTCCTAGACAAATGGGCTGAAAAATGAGTAGCCTTTTAAAATTTTAAAATTATATTTAATATTTAATAAGAGTCTTTTGTGAATTTTTTAGAAATTCCGCAGGGACACTTTTATAAATATAAAAAATTATGTATAAAAAATGAAAAGAAAAGAAACGTCATCGTTTTAATGCACGTTAGTCTTTCAAGTACAGAATTTATTCCCGCCGAAAATATATAAGCCGCATTATAACACCTCTGTCTCTACATTGGGCTCATCTTAACAATCCCCAACTAGGGACTGCTGTTGCTGCAGAATAGAGGAGTGATTCCAGGCCATCCGTTGCAGCAGGCAATGGATGGTGTGGTTCGGAACAATGAAGAAGGTTCGGAACAATGAAGAATACTCTTCCAGGACGCAGAACTGATTCGGGACAAACCACCATCCATGGGTACTTGAACACGTCCGGGGCGTGCGACGCAGTGTCTTGGGTTCCTTCTCATGACCTCACCTGAAGTTATCGGATCATTACGTATCTCAACGAAGCCTCCAGGGTACACCAACTTGAGGACACCATTTTCTCTGGCTATTGAACTCGTTGCCATGGCTTAATCTAACCAGAAAGAAAAATGATGACTTGTGTGTGTATAAATGTCTATGGTATTAGGCTTATGTTTGGTGGAAAGGAAAAGAGAATGAGAAGGAAACCAAAGGAGCACATCTTGATCACCTCTAATTATGTAAGCCCTTTTCTCACTTGATGACAATTTTGGGTGTCTGAAACTCCTATGTGGAGGATCTAGGGTTATGTGGGAGTCATTGTCCTATAATGTTTTCTTTATTTGGTGGGGTTTGCATTAGCTGGCATTAGCTGGAGAGTAAGTTTATCTTTCTGCTTCATGGCATTGGTTTTGTCATTTGTCTTGGACTTATCTCTCGTTGAGGAAGATTTAGCTCTAACATGATGGATGGATTGACTAGGTGGTCTGAGCATTCACCTGAGTTTGAGCATGTAAACAAAGAGGAATGCTAGTTACAGTCGCTCACAGTGCTTCTATTGACGTTGTGTGATTGGTTAAATCAATTACACATACGTGACATTCACTTTCACAATAGCAGTGGTTGTAATTAGGGGTGCACTTGCGCATGGTTCAAATTGGATCAATTTAGAAATATTTTGGAATCAAACTATTCCTAATGATTCCATAAAAATTGAAACCAAACTGGACCGTAAAACCGACTAAAATTTAAAAAAGATACCGCATTCAATGGGAATCTTGAGCAGAGATTCTAATTAGGGATCAAGCCGACCAGCAGAGATTCCAATGTTGGAAGTTTTAGGCAGTCCCAACATACTTCATGATATTCCTTCACTTATACTTTACTATAGACTTGTAAGATTTTCATCATTGTATCTATGGAAGGATTGCTGAATAAGGTGTTGCACGTTCATATTTTGTTCTGATATGGTTGCTTGTACTGTACGTCAATTAACTAACTAGTTCACGCATGACTCCTTGTTCTTCAAGACAGAATAGCCTTTAAAATAGAGGGTTATTCATAGTTCATAACATTCGCGCGTCTAATCTAAGTTACAACTTGAGAGAACAAATTGAGGCTGATTGAGGACTATATTTGAGGAAAGTTCTCAGGAATTTATATATATATATATATATATATATATATATATATAAAAATAATAGTTTAATTCACATGCATGTATAAGATGCATTAGACTTCAAGACATTACCGGGAGAGCTTTTGGATTTTCAGGTGCATCAAAACAACATGCAACAAAGCAACACGTGAGGGTAGTCTGAAATATTTATAAAATTCATCTCATTATTCTTTATAATACAATAGTAGAATTCGCTATTTATCATTTAGTTTACATGCAATACCATTATATCGAAAATGAAATCCATCTGGAACACTCTAGAATGGAAGCCATCCCGAACGTTTAAATATTCTTTGATATCCACCTTTGCTAACTGTGAAACTTATTCCTTGGCACCACTTAGTGTGGAGCTCCCAATCCATCCCTCGCCATAAATTCAATCTTATGGTTGGCTACTTTGAACCGCCTACCATCCCTCGGCCAAAAAAATCCATGGAATAATTGCACATCCTTAACCACTGCTCACTATGGGTCTATTTGGTTGGCCTTTTTGTTTGTCTGTAGTTGTGTTTTGTTCAATAAATAATGTTTAATTTGTTTTGAACAGTGCTGAAATGCCGATTTTGTATTTTGATATGTTTGTGCACTGTAGCAATGCGACAATATCTATATATTTTTTTTTAACAAAAAAGCCTCTAAAAACTAGCCATTATATAAATATCAAATTTGCATTACTTTTTTTTACCAAATGGGTTTTCATATTTTTACTAAAATTTTTAAAACAAATAGGCATACATTACCAAATATCTTCGATTACTATTCAAAATGCTATAGAACAAGTCTATTGTTTTTATTTAAGGTTAAAACAAAAACGCAAATTGTTTCTATCTACCAAACAGGCCATCTGTTGCTCAACAAATATATGGTAGCTTCAATCACCTGGGCAGTTTTTTTTTATTGGTGCCTGATTTTTATCAAGTTTTTTATTTTTTGTTTTTCGTGCCGGTGTCTTTATGTTTATTTTTTTTTTAATTGTTTTTTATTTTCTGTGTCGGCTTTTCCCCTCTCTCTCTCCCCTACTTCGTAACCCAAAGCCACTTCGATCTCCCTCTACTCCGATCTCCGTCCAAGCCACCACCATGTCAGCTTTACCTCCTTTGTCAACCCTTTTCATGCTCTCCGGCCGTCCAAGTCGCATAGCCAAAATTCCCCTTCTTCCCCTTCACTGTCTCTCACCTTGTTCTCCTTCACCTTACACCTTCATCACAATCTGCCTCTAGACCCAAAACCCAATATTTTGCATACCCAAAATTCCCCTTCTTCTTCCCCTACTTCCCAACCCAAAACCACTTCTTCTCTCTCCACTCTTAGCCTCTTTCTCTCTCTACTCATCGGCGGGCGAAGAACCGGCCATCCAAGCCGCCGACCACTCTTCGCCGGGTTCGGCCGCAGACTCCTTTCCTTGCCGGCTCAGCTCTCCACCTTCTCTCCTCAATTGCCGGTGCCGGATAGCATGAAAAGGGTTGATAGAGGAGGTAAAGGTGAGATGGTGGTGGCCTGGACGGAGATCGGAGTAGAGAGAGAAGTGGTTTTGGGTTAGGAAGTAGGGAGATAGAGGAAAAGCCGATACAGCAAAAACAATTAAAAAAAATAAACATAAAGACATCGGCACGAAAAACAAAAAAAAAAAAAAAATGATAAAAATTAGGCATCAATAAAAAACCTGCCATGTCACACGACTGATAGCGTCGGTCGCCCAACGCTAGCATCCCTCTAAAGTCTTTGTTCCAAAGAAATCATTTCTTTTGATAGGAACAAGCTTTCAAAGTCAACTTAGATAGAGTGTTTCGTTAAACTTTTAAAGAGCATCCGTAATGCACCATGGCGAGCAATGCAGCAAGATGGGAGCCCCACTTTCTCTCGTCTATCTC